TCCCCTAAAGCCCCAGAGCTCGAGGTCTACTTCTACCTAAATACATACAGCTTGCCTTACCACCATTTCAGAGCCAAGCCTCCCTTTCTGATAGAGGGGAGTGAGAAAGAGATTTTTTTTTCGGATCGCCTAATTCAATAGCTCAAAAATAGGTGGAGTTCGCCCTTTGAAGCACATAGTTAAGTGTTGCAACAGGGGGGTTGTTCAGCGAACGGGAAGCAAACAAAGTCTCCATACCAACATTGAAGGCTTCGCAGCTATCCGGAAGAGAGCCTTACTCTATAGGGGTGCTAACGCTTTACTAATATAATATCAAGTAAGGGCTCTTCTTCTGTTCTACGAATCTAACTAATCTATACTACTACTAACTATAGTCAGACTAGGTCTTCTAGAGGGAACTAGCATAGTATGGTTTATATATTTTGTGCTACTAGAACCACAAGCCGCACTATACTTGCCTGAACCTCCTAAACGAAGTACGCTTTGGCGAGCGAGAAGCAGCCGGGTATAGGAGAAGGGGCGGTTGGCTTAGTAAAGATAGTAAATAGTTCAACTTGGTGGATAGTTCCTCGGCTCGGTTGAGTAATGTAGTTCGCTCGGCTCGCAGCGGGCTTGTTCTAGTGGAAAGAGATTTCTCTCTGGGAAAAACACATAAGATTTGTTCGCTAGAGCTTCATCACTGAATAATGGTGGCTTGACTTTTTGGAGAACTTCTTCGCGTGGGCGGCGTACGTACAAGGTAGTTTACTTGCTTACTTTAAAGAGGGAGGGGGTGTTAGAAATAAGCCACCGCCCGACGACGGTTTACAACACAGAGCGACCCGGGACATCGAGCGAAGAGCTCCAATGCGCGTATTCGGAGCTACGCGGATGCCGTAGTCGCAGAAGCCGGATCAACATCATGACAACGGCATTCTGGAAACTGTTAGGCCAGCCACAATTGGTCTAATGTCTGGGTGCGTATGGCGGTACACTGAGAGCACCTTTCAAGTCGGCTGACAAAGAAAAAAGGGTTTCGTCGTCTTTTTCCCGCTTTCACCTGCGATTGCGAAGGGATTTGAGGCCGGTTTTCAATTCGCTTCTCTCTCTCCGGCGAGGTTTGACTTCGCGTGGTGGGAAGGCCTTCGCTATTCGCATCTTCCCGTCCAGCAAAGAAAGTGAAGGGGAGCGGACAGCAAGTTGGAGGACGCTGCGGAACCGCGTAATTGATCCATCTGCGCTATTCCCTAATTGAAGCAAGTTAGAAAGCCTTCAGAGCCTCAGCCCCTACCATTTTTTGAATAAAATGAAAGCTGACTAGCAATCGCTCGTTTTTCTTATTAGCATGGGATTGGATGTTAATAATGAAAGACAGAACATCTATTAGAAGGCAATCCCCGGGGAATTCCTATCGATTTCCGATGGATAACAATCCATATTTCTCGCTCTCGCTCTTTCTCCCAATCAATCGCGAGGGTTCCGGGCATGAGAACGCAAGTTCCGGAATCGAACAAAACGTCCGAGGACGAAAGAAAAAATGCTCCGCGGGGAACTCGTTTCATGTCGGCGTATTCGTGCCGGTTAGACGTCGGCCATGAAATCCATCACTATACCGAGCAGATCCCGGGCATTCACATCTCGGTCAAACGGAACTATGCGCGGTTCTCTCGTGAATCGCCTTCAGCAAGGTATGGCATTCAGGGTCTGAACCCGGGGAGAAATCTTTCTTCATAGATACAAGACATTCGTTGCTGATCTAAAAAAGATCTTATCCTGTGGGCGTTAGCGGACGTTTTTCATTCTTCAACCGGTCCTTAGTAGCGTTTCCAAAGTCAACCTAACCGGTTACTTTTGTGGAGACGCGCTAAAACAGGCCTATAGGTTCGCCTTTCTAATAGAAGAAGAGTAGATAATTAGATATAATAAGTATATATAATTAGCCAGATCATCTGAAGCATGAACAGAATCACCTTTGTTCCGAAGGCCTAGCGAGTTAAGCGAGTTCCTTTTTTTTTTTCAAGGAGGTCTTTTTCTTTCCCCGGACCGATGACTCGCTTGTTCAGTACTGCTAAAACTATTATAGGAGTATGCCGTCCCCTCGGGACTACCAGTAGTTTTGGTTGTTGAATCTCGTGCAAGTTAGGTTGTGGTTGTATTGGCTGCAAGCGGAACGTTCGTGCTTTTGGTGTGTGTTGACCATGCACTCTCGCGTCATGTAATGTCGTATGTATGATAGAGGTGGTGTGGTGATTGATCTCAATGCTAATGGTTATCCCCAAGGTTCAACGAATGAATGGGGCTATGATTGTACCCGGATAGAGATGACGGTCTTCCTCTGATGTCTCCAAGCCGGCCATAATAGAATAGATAGGCGAAGCAGCCAATAGCAGTCTGTTCTCGCCTATCGATAGATAGTAGGTTGCTTCCAAGCTCAAACCATTTGAAACTGAATTGCTACTTTATTCTTGTTATTGATAGAGTGGTATTCTCCGCCCTAAAGTAGAGGGAGAGAACTGGAAGA